AAGTCTGCGGTCTTTTCTTTGCCTCCTCACAGGCAGGAGAAGTCTTCTTCGAGAGTTCCTGTTAGCTGCTGCAGCCGATGCTGCCCCCTGCGACCCGCAGGGAGAGGGGGAGACGCTGATGATGATGATGATGCTCGGTTGTGGTTTGTGGCAGGGACGATTTTTGGCCAAATGAAACAGACAGAAGTTTTCTCGGAAAAAACAGACAAACAAGAAACACAAACAAGTGTGTTAATTACCATACAATACCAATAATTAATTACAATTCAAAATAAACCTATGAAATAATTACTATTAACATTTTAAACATTAAATTCTGAAAACCAAATCTGCATTCAACTACTATCCTAAGCCCTATTTTTCCAAAAGTATAATGCTCTCTAAGATCATTCTAACTTTTATATCACCAAAATGTAGGGAAAAAAACTTGTCTAGACGCCTTGGAGATAAAAAATAAAATAATGCCTCTTTATAATCTAACTCAAAGTTCTGTGATCCTATGACTCCATGTCAGTAACATTATCGTGTGTATAAATGTAATTTTCTACAAAAAATTCTTTCTTCACGAGAGAGAGACAGAGAGAGAGAGAGAGAGAGAGAGAGAGAGAGAGAGAGAGAGAGAGAAAAAGGGGAGAGAGAGAGGACAGAACGAGGGAGGGGAGGGGCCTCCCGAACAAAGGAAGCATGGAGTCAAATACTTTTCTCGTTTTTCTCGTGACAAGGTTCTAAATCAGTGGTAAAAGTTTTTCTCACGTCAAACGACACTTTACATTTTATCCTTAAATACGTCAGTAATGGAAAACATTACTATTTGCTTACATGAGTAATAGTCCCAGCAGAATCTCTTTTTTTTTTTTTTGATTCTCTGTGACTATTAAACATTACATCAGAATAAGAGAAAAACTTCCATAACTGATCATTTCTTCACATGAAACTCGTATACTACAGCCAAGAGGCTCTCTTTTTCCTCATTAATCAGATCATTATTATCAGAATCCACATTTTAAATACTTGGCTTTTCTTCTGTTTAAATTAATTGTGCCCTTTTCCCCGCCCCCGGGGGATATGGAGTTTTTATTATCCTATAACTTCTGACCCTATGTATCCCTATCTCTCGAATCCTATTTATCTAAACAGTTGTGCCTCTTTTGCACTTATACCCCTGTGGCTCTTTTCATCATCTGTTCTGTTTTTTAAGGAGGGACCAATGCTTCCCCCAAGGTTAAAACGTCTAAACCTGACTATTGTTCTATCGCGTCCGATAGAACGCCCCGTCACGGCGGTCGTCTGGCCACGCTGCAGTCCGCTGAGCCGAATTCTCTCTCTCTCTTCCATTTAAAACAATGTGCAGATTTTCAAAAGTAACGATCCGCTTACCTCTTTCGAAGAGAAGAGAGAAGAGAAGAGAGAATTCTCCCGGCCCACGGACCCAGTCTATATTTGAGCTCATCTCTGTCTTTCTTCTGCACCATCACGTCTCGGGTCACCAAATGTAGTCAATAATTCCCTTTGACTAACGTGTTTCAAAATGGTTGCAGAAGTAAGGCAAACGATGTTCAAGTTTAACATCTGCATTTAATTATCTTTACAATCAGATACAGAATGTTCAACAGAAGTGCTCCTATTCTCTGCCTGGTCTTTCCCTGTCCGTGCCCTGTCCTGTCTGACCTCAAAAAACACACACACACGGGCTCATGAGGGAGACTTCCGATGACGTCATCCTTATGCGTCCAAGGGTGGAGGTTTCCGGGTGTGCTGACGTCCCCTATCCACTGGGAGGCGTCAGAATGCAGTTGGTGAATCTCCCAGTCTGCCTCAAGATCAGGTTCTGTACTTTTGTCCTCGTCAAAATGTTTATTATTTAAAGTTAATAATTCGCCCTGTTTAAACAGCATTTTATCTTTATGACTCATGTCTGATTATCCTGTGTCCTTGGGGTTTTTCCTGAGTGCACAGAGGTCTTTCTGGCTATGATGTTCAAATGGTCAAATATTAAAATATACAACACTCCTGTCCTATATGAACAGTATATAACTCTGTCCTATATGTACAGTATATAACTCCTGTCCTATATGTACAGTATATAACTCCTGTCCTATATGTACAGTATATAACTCTGTCCTATATGTACAGTATATAACTCCTGTCCTATATGTACAGTATATAACTCCTGTCCTATATGTACAGTATATAACTCCTGTCCTATATGTACAGTATATGACTCTGCTCTATATGTACAGTATATAACTCCTGTCTATCTGTACAGTATATAACTCTGTCCTATATGTACAGTATATAACTCCTGTCCTATATGTACAGTATATAACTCTGTCCTATATGTACAGTATATAACTCTGCTCTATATATACAGTATATAACTCCTGCTCTATATGTACAGTATATAACTCCTGTCCTATCTGTACAGTATATAACTCTGTCTATCTGTACAGTATATAACTCCTGTCCTATATGTACAGTATATAACTCCTGTCCTATATGTACAGTATATAACTGTCCTATATGTACAGTATATAACTCCTGTCCTATATGTACAGTATATAACTCCTGTCCTATATGTACAGTATATAACTCCTGTCCTATATGTACAGTATATAACTCTGCTCTATATGTACAGTATATAACTCCTGTCTATCTGTACAGTATATAACTCTGTCCTATATGTACAGTATATAACTCCTGTCCTATATGTACAGTATATAACTGTCCTATATGTACAGTATATAACTGTCCTATATGTACAGTATATAACTCCTGTCCTATATGTACAGTATATAACTCTGTCCTATATGTACAGTATATAACTCCTGTCCTATATGTACAGTATATAACTCCTGTCTATCTGTACAGTATATAACTCTCTGTCCTATATGTACAGTATATAACTCCTGTCCTATATGTACAGTATATAACTCTGTCCTATATGTACAGTATATAACTCCTGTCCTATATGTACAGTATATAACTCCTGTCCTATATGTCCAGTATATAACTCTGTCCTATATGTACAGTATATAACTCCTGTCCTATATGTACAGTATATAACTCCTGTCCTATATGTACAGTATATAACTCCTGTCCTATATGTACAGTATATAACTCTGTCCTATATGTACAGTATATAACTCTGTCCTATATGTACAGTATATAACTCCTGCTCTATATGTACAGTATATAATTCCTGCTCTATATGTACAGTATATAACTCTGTCCTATATGTACAGTATATAACTCTGTCCTATATGTACAGTATATAACTCTGTCCTATATGTACAGTATATAACTCCTGTCTATATGTACAGTATATAACTCCTGTCCTATATGTACAGTATATAACTCCTGTCCTATATGTACAGTATATAACTCCTGTCCTATATGTACAGTATATAACTCCTGTCCTATATGTACAGTATATAACTCTGTCCTATATGTACAGTATATAACTCCTGTCCTATATGTACAGTATATAACTCTGTCCTATATGTACAGTATATAACTCCTGTCCTATATGTACAGTATACAACTCCTGTCCTATATGTACAGTATATAACTCCTGTCCTATATGTACAGTATATAACTCCTGTCCTATATGTACAGTATATAACTCTGCTCTATATGTACAGTATATAACTCCGGTCTATCTGTACAGTATATAACTGTCTATCTGTACAGTATATAACTCTGTCCTATATGTACAGTATATAACTCCTGTCCTATATGTACAGTATATAACTCCTGTCCTATATGTACAGTATATAACTCCTGTCCTATATGTACAGTATATAACTCTGCTCTATATGTACAGTATATAACTCCTGTCTATCTGTACAGTATATAACTCTGTCCTATATGTACAGTATATAACTCCTGTCCTATATGTACAGTATATAACTCCTGTCCTATATGTACAGTATATAACTGTCCTATATGTACAGTATATAACTCCTGTCCTATATGTACAGTATATAACTCTGTCCTATATGTACAGTATATAACTCCTGTCCTATATGTACAGTATATAACTCCTGTCTATCTGTACAGTATATAACTCTGTCCTATATGTACAGTATACAACTCCTGTCCTATATGTACAGTATATAACTCTGTCCTATATGTACAGTATATAACTCCTGTCCTATATGTACAGTATATAACTCCTGTCCTATATATACAGTATATAACTCCTGTCCTATATGTACAGTATATAACTCCTGGTCCTATATGTACAGTATATAACTCCTGTCCTATATATACAGTATATAACTCCTGTCCTATATGTACAGTATATAACTCCTGTCCTATATGTACAGTATATAACTCCTGTCCTATATGTACAGTATATAACTCCTGGTCCTTACAGATTCATGGATCTACAATAAGGACAGTCTTCCTGAGGATGTGAGACAGGAGTCTCAGGTAAAAACATCGGTCTGTGAAACATTTCTCTTTCAAACCACATCTTTAGAGTTTTGTTTTGATTCATCTGTTTTGTCTTTATTTGTTATTCAATTCGATAAACGTTTTTAATTTCTCATTTGAAGTAACGTTAAAATGAAAATACTGTAACTTCAGCTTCAGCGCCCCCTGGTGGACATTACAGTCTTCAGAAACTTCCTGGGTCTTTACCCACAGCTCTACATGAAGGAGCAGCGGCTTTACCCAGAGCTCTACATGAAGGAGCAGCGGCTTTACCCAGAGCTCTACATGAAGGAGCAGCGGCTTCACACAGAGCTTTTTAGTTAAATTGATTTTTTGACTAATCTTTGAGAAACAAGACTTTTTTCAACACACATTTTTTTATTTAACAAAGAATTTGCACAAATTCAAACTTCACAAACATTGGACACATTTTAACAACAGAACAACAGCAAACGGCTTAAAATGGTAAAAAATAATAAATATGATGTGACATCACCTTCAATAAAACGATCAAAGACAGAAAAGAACATACGCTTCAAGAACGACATCAACGCTGATCCTCTTTATCTGAGAAGAAAAGAAACACAGCCTCAGTCCTGGGTCTACGGCTACAATCCTGGGTCTACGGCCTCAGTCCTGGGTCTACGGCCTCAGTCCTGGGTCTACGGCCTCAGTCCTGGGTCTACGGCCTCAGTCCTGGGTCTACGGCCTCAGTCCTGGGTCTACGGCCTCAGTCCTGGGTCTACGGCCTCAGTCCTGGGTCTACAGCAGCCTCAGTCCTGGGTCTACAGCCTCAGTCCTGGGTCTACAGCAGCCTCAGTCCTGGGTCTACGACCTCAGTCCTGGGTCTACAGCAGCCTCAGTCCTGGGTCTACGGCCACAGTCCTGGGTCTACAGCCTCAGTCCTGGGTCTACAGCCTCAGTCCTGGGTCTACGGCCTCAGTCCTGGGTCTACAGCCTCAGTCCTGGGTCTACGGCCACAGTCCTGGGTCTACAGCCTCAGTCCTGGGTCTACGGCCTCAGTCCTGGGTCTACGGCCTCAGTCCTGGGTCTACAGCCTCAGTCCTGGGTCTACGGCCTCAGTCCTGGGTCTACGGCCTCAGTCCTGGGTCTACGGCATCAGTCCTGGGTCTACGTTATCAGTCCTGGGTCTACGGCCTCAGTCCTGGGTCTACGGCATCAGTCCTGGGTCTACGGCCTCAGTCCTGGGTCTACGGCCTCAGTCCTGGGTCTACGGCCTCAGTCCTGGGTCTACGGCCTCAGTCCTGGGTCTACGGCCTCAGTCCTGGGTCTACGGCCTCAGTCCTGGGTCTACGGCCTCAGTCCTGGGTCTACGGCCTCAGTCCTGGGTCTACGGCCTCAGTCCTGGGTCTACGGCCTCAGTCCTGGGTCTACGGCCTCAGTCCTGGGTCTACAGCCTCAGTCCTGGGTCCCTGGAGACATCTTCAAAAACTAAACTAATATTTCCATCAGTTCTTTCCCATAAATAGTTTTTGCAGTGATTTACAGTAAGTTGTTCTAGAATTAATCAAAAAACAGATATTTCCGTTATTCTGTTCTGAACTCAGACTCAGACTCAGATTTGGGGTCAGGGTCAGACTGGGACTGGGACTGACCTGTCCAGGCGGGTGACCACGTCCCGGACGGTGCTGATCAGACCCTCATGGTCCTGGGGACTGCTCATGATGATGCTGTGCAGCTTCTTCATGTAGACGTCGATGGTTTCGATGCTCGGGGTCTCTCCACTTCCTGAAAGTTCACAAATGTTAAAAATAAGTCCATCTGAAGAAATAAGAACATTTGTTTATTTAAATAACATTTAGGAAGTTATAGGTGTCATAGGTGTCATAGGCGTCATAGGCGTCATAGGTGTCATAGGTGCCATAGGCGTCATAGGCGTCAAACTGTAGGTGTTATACAGTGCCTTGCGAAAGTATTCGGCCCCCTTGAACCTTTTGCCACATTTCAGGCTTCAAACATAAAGATATAAAAATTACATTTTTTGTCAAGAATCAACAACAAGCGGGACACAATCGTGAAGTGGAACGCAATTTATTGGATAATTCAAACTTTTTAACAAATAAAAAACTGAAAAGTGGGGCGTGCAATATTATTCGGCCCCTTGCGCTAATACTTTGTAGCGCCACCTTTTGCTGCAATTACAGCTGCAAGTCGCTTGGGGTATGTATCAGTTTTGCACATCGAGAGACTGGAATTCTTGCCCATTCTTCCTTGCAAAACAGCTGGAGCTCAGTGAGGTTGGATGGAGAGCGTTTGTGAACAGCAGTCTTCAGCTCTTTCCACAGATTCTCGATTGGAATCAGGTCTGGACTTTGACTTGGCCATTCTAACACCTGGATACGTCTATTTGTGAACCATTCCATTGTAGATTTGGCTTTATGTTTTGGATCATTGTCCTGTTGGAAGATAAATCTCCGTCCCAGTCTCAGGTCTTTTGCAGACTCCAACAGGTTTTCTTCCAGAATGGTCCTGTATTTGGCTCCATCCATCTTCCCATCAATTTTAGCCATCTTCCCTGTCCCTGCTGAAGAAAAGCAGGCCCAAAGCATGATGCTGCCACCACCATGTTTGACAGTGGGGATGGTGTGTTCAGGGTGATGAGCTGTGTTGCTTTTACGCCAAACATATCGTTTTGCATTGTGGCCAAAAAGTTTGATTTTGGTTTCATCTGACCAGAGCACCTTCTTCCACATGTTTGGTGTGTCTCCCAGGTGGCTTGTGGCAAACTTTAAACCAGACTTTTTATGGATATCTTTGAGAAATGGCTTTCTTCTTGCCACTCTTCCATAAAGGCCAGATTTGTGCAGTGCACGACTGATTGTTGTCCTATGGACAGACTCTCCCACCTCAGCTGTAGTTATCTGCAGTTCATCCAGAGTGATCATGGGCCTCTTGGCTGCATCTCTGATCAGTCTTCTCCTTGTTTGAGATGAAAGTTTGGAGGGACGGCCGGGTCTTGGTAGATTTGCAGTGGTCTGATACTCCTTCCATTTCAATATAATTGCTTGCACAGTGCTCCTTGAGATGTTTAAAGCTTGGGAAATCTTTTTGTATCCAAATCCGGCTTTAAACTTCTCCACAACAGTATCTCGGACCTGCCTGGTGTGTTCCTTTGTCTTCATGGTTCTCTCTGCGCTTTAAACAGAACCCTGAGACTATCAAAGAGCAGGTGCATTTATACGGAGACTTGATTACACACATGTGCATTCTATTTATCATCATCAGTCATTTATGACAACATTGGATCATTCAAAGATCCTGACTGAACTTCTGGACTGAGTTTGCTGCACTGAAAGTAAAGGGGCCCAATAATATTGCACGCCCCACTTTTCAGTTTTTTATTTGTTAAAAACGTTTAAATTATCCAATAAATTTCGTTCCACTTCACGATTGTGTCCCACTTGTTGTTGATTCATGACAAAAAATATATCTATATCTATATATCTAATATAAATTATATCTTTATGTTTGAAGCCTGAAATGTGGCGAAATGTTGAAAGGTTCAAGGGGGCCGAATACTTTCGCAAGGCACTGTAGGTGTCATAGGCGTCATAGGTGTCAAACTGAAGGTGTCATAGGTGTTATAGGTGTCATAGGTGTTATAGGTGTCATAGGTGTCATAGGTGTCATAGGGGTCATAGGGGTCATAGGTGTTATTGATGTCACAGTCGATGATGTCACAGTGTGTCACAGTGGATCATGTCATAGAGTCTGACCTGGCAGTGGCACAGAGCAGAAGCTGGAGGTGAGTGCCTGGCGGAGAGTCTCCAGGTGCTGCTGTAAAAGGCTGTTTCTTCCTCTCTCCTGCAGGACGTCTCCCTCCAGGCGCTCCACAGCGCCCCTCATGCTCTCCACGTGCTTCTGCAGTGCTGCGTTGCGCTCCTCGTACTCCATGTTGGTTTTCCGCAGCTGCCGCAGCTCGGCTTCTCGGGCTGCGAGGACAAAAGAGTTTTAATGAGATTCACTCTGTCCTCCATGTTTTCTCAGATGCTTGTGTTCATGAAAATGTCATATTCAGATTCATTTATTTGACAATTGCAGAAAAACCACCTTGGAATACATCAGTAAAAGGCCCCAGTGTGCAGCAGACAGGACAGTAATAAGGTTAAAAAGATAAACCTTTGCTGTGGTTGAGAAACTCCTCAGTGAAGATGGGGATGTCAAACACAGTCCTGTCCTTCACCTCCACGTCTTTCTGCTTCAAAAGAAAACACAGTTAGCTTAAGGTTAGAGTCAGAGTCAGTCAGACTCAGAGAGTCAGTGTAACTTACTGAACTCTATCCAAACAGCAACACAGATATTAGCCACCGTCCATCTCAAAGTTCCTGGGCCTTAACAGATGTTTGAACAAACCCGCCCTGAGCCTATGATCGTCTGATGGTATAAAGTCATGAGGACACAGTGGGAGCTGACAGTGAGCGCTGCTGTTCCATCTCTTCCATCGTGGGCGAGTAATTAGTTTTATTCGTGCTGTGGGAAGATCCGGGTCGAGTTTAAAAATGAGGAGGACGATGTAATTTCATCACTGCTCAGCTGCGATATCAGAGACACCAACGCAACACTTCACAAAGAATGATCTGTAAAATATGTTTCAACAGCCGCAGTATTGCTCCTGTGAAGGAACATCTGTCATCTACCCAATACCGCCTTAACAAGGTTTAGGAGAATACTTTGGAGGGAACTTAAAGGAACACTTTGTTTTTACTTCTACTTAGTTTTACACTATACACACACACATACATATAAACATATACATATATGTATACAATGCATGTATGTGTATGTATCTTTTGAATGCGCTGGAAAACAGCTGCGAGTCCTAAGTGTCTCTGAAACAGTTACCATTTTCATTTTTATTTTTATTTTTATTTTCCACTGCAGATGTTGCTGCAGTTCAGTGTTCATGGTCTTACACTGGTCCAGACCAGAGCAGAGAGGATTCATGGTCTTACACTGGTCCGGACCAGAGCAGAGGAAATGGTCTGAACCATCTCTGCTGCTGCGACCTGAAGGACTGATGGATTTCATTTTTACTATTGTTAACTTTTTAGAATTATCAATTTTATTTTGTATTTTTGCTGCTGCTTGACACCTCAATTTCTCCTACAGGGATCAATAAAGTATCTTTCTGCTTCACTTTGGTCAATTTTAGAATCAACCGATCGATTAATCAGCGGAAACAATGATAAATGAATTGATTGTAAACAAACTAATAGTTACAGAGTTGACGCACATGGTTTGAATCCAAAAGTAGGATTATGTTTCAAATAAATTTAACTCACAAAGCGCTGAACAATAAAGGAGGCAAAAGTCGGATCCATTCTACATGATTTTAGTCTGCGGACACGGAGAGAACATGCAAACTCCACACTAACCTTTCTCGAGGCGGCATTGAACCAAGGACCTTTTTATTGTGTGTCTGTATTAAACATGATCATTGTAATAAAGACATGTTTCTTTAGGAGCAGCTCAGACCTGAAGGATCTCACCTCGTTCAGAGCCTCGTTAGTCGCCTGGTGCCCCACGTCTGCAGAGAGAGAGACTGGGTTAGACTCATCCAGACCCGGACTCAGACACACACACTCAGATACAGACACACACACTCAGATACAGACACTCAGATACAGACACTCAGATACAGACACACACACTCAGATACAGACACACACACTCAGACTCAGACACACACACTCAGATACAGACACACACACTCAGACTCAGACACACACACTCAGATACAGACACACACACTCAGACACACACTCAGATAAACACTCAGACACACACACTCAGATACAGACACACACTCAGATACACACTCAGACACACACACTCAGATACAGACTCAGATACAGACACACACACTCAGATACAGACACACACACTCAGACACACACTCAGATACACACTCAGACACAGACACTCAGATACAGACACACACACTCAGACTCAGACACACACACTCAGATACAGACACACACACTCAGACACACACTCAGATAAACACTCAGACACACACACTCAGATACAGACACTCAGATACAGACTCAGATACAGACATACACACTCAGATACAGACACACACACTCAGACACACACTCAGATACACACTCAGACACAGACACTCAGATACAGACACACACACTCAGATACAGACACTCAGATACAGACACACACACTCAGATACAGACACTCAGATACAGACACACACACTCAGATACAGACACACACTCAGACACACACACTCAGATACAGACACACACTCAGACACACACACTCAGATACAGACACTCAGATACAGACACACACACTCAGATACAGACACACACACTCAGACACACACTCAGATACACACTCAGACACAGACACTCAGATACAGACACACACACTCAGATACAGACACACACACTCAGATACAGACACTCAGATACAGACACACACACTCAGATACAGACACACACACTCAGATACAGACACACACACTCAGATACAGACACACACTCAGACACACACACTCAGATACAGACACACACTCAGACACACACACTCAGATACAGACACTCAGATACAGACACACACACTCAGATACAGACACACACTCAGATACACACTCAGACACAGACACTCAGATACAGACACACACACTCAGATACAGACACTCAGATACAAACACACACACTCAGATACAGACACACACACTCAGACACACACTCAGATAAACACTCAGACACACACACTCAGATACAGACACTCAGATACAGACACTCAGATACAGACACACACACTCAGATACAGACACACACACTCAGATACAGACACACACACTCAGATACAGACACACACACTCAGATAGACTCAGATACAGACACACACACTCAGACACACAGACTCAGACACACACACTCAGATACAGACTCAGACACACACACTCAGATACAGACTCAGACACACACACTCAGACACACAGACTCAGACACACAGACTCAGACACACACACTTAGATACAGACTCAGACACACACACTCAGATACACACTCAGACACACACACTCAGATACAGACTCAGATACAGACACACACACTCAGACACACACACTCAGACACACACTCAGATACACACACTCAGATACACACAGACTCAGACAAAGACACTCAGATACAGACTCGGCCTCAGTTCTCAGGCCTCAGCCTCAGTTCTCAGTTCTCAGGCCTCGGCCTCAGTTCTCAGTTCTCAGGCCTTGGCCTCAGTTCTCAGGCCTCGGCCTCAGTTCTCAGGCCTCGGTTCTCAGTTCTCAGGCCTCGGTTCTCAGGCCTCGGTTCTCAGTTCTCAGGCCTCGGTTCTCAGTTCTCAGGCCTCGGTTCTCAGGCCTCGGCTCTCAGGCCTCGGCTCTCAGTTCTCAGGCCTCGGCTCTCAGGCCTCGGTTCTCAGGCCTCGGCCTCGGTTCTCAGGCCTCGGTCTCAGGCCTCGGCCTCGGTTCTCAGGCCTCGGTCTCAGGCCTCGGCCTCGGTTCTCAGTTCTCAGGCCTCGGTTCTCAGGCCTCGGCTCTCAGTTCTCAGGCCTCGGTTCTCAGGCCTCGGCTCTCAGTTCTCAGGCCTCGGTTCTCAGGCCTCGGTTCTCAGGCCTCGGTTCTCAGGCCTCGGTTCTCAGGCCTCGGCCTCGGTTCTCAGGCCTCGGCCTCGGTTCTCAGGCCTCGGCCTCGGTTCTCAGGCCTCGGCCTCGGTTCTCAGGCCTCGGCCTCGGTTCTCAGGCCTCGGCCTCAGTTCTCGGCCTCAGTTGTCGGCCTCAGTTCTCGGCCTCAGTCTCAGTTCTCAGGCCTCAGTTCTCAGGCCTCGGCCTCAGTTCTCAGTTCTCAGGCCTCAGTTCTCGGCCTCAGTTCTCGGCCTCAGTTCTCGGCCTCAGTTCTCGGCCTCAGTTCTCGGCCTCAGTTCTCTGCCTCAGTTCTCTGCCTCAGTCTCAGCTTCAGCCTCAGTCTCAGTTCTCGGCCTTAGTTCTCAAGCCTCGGCCTCAGTTCTCGGCCTCAGTTCTCAGGCCTCAGTTCTCAGGCCTCGGCCTCAGTTCTCAGTTCTCGGCCTCAGTTGTCGGCCTCAGTTCTCGGCCTCAGTTCTCAGTTCTCGGCCTCAGTTCTCAGTTCTCGGCCTCAGTTCTCGGCCTCAGTTCTCGGCCTCAGTTCTCGGCCTCAGTTCTCGGCCTCAGTTCTCGGCCTCAGTTCTCTGCCTCAGTTCTCTGCCTCTGCCTCAGTTCTCTGCCTCAGTTCTCTGCCTCAGTCTCAGTTCTCAGCCTTAGTTCTCAGGCCTCGGCCTCAGTTGTCGGCCTCAGTTGTCGGCCTCAGTTGTCGGCCTCAGTTGTCGGCCTCAGTTGTCGGCCTCAGTTGTCGGCCTCAGTTGTCGGCCTCAGTTGTCGGCCTCAGTTCTCGGCCTCAGTTCTCTGCCTCAGTCTCAGCTTCAGCCTCAGTTCTCTGCCTCAGTCTCAGCTTCAGCCTCAGTTCTCAGCCTCAGTTCTCGGCCTCAGTTCTCAGGCCTCGGCCTCAGTTCTCGGCCTCAGTTCTCGGCCTCAGTTCTCGGCCTCAGTTCTCGGCCTCAGTTCTCGGCCTCAGTTCTCGGCCTCAGTTCTCGGCCTCAGTTCTCGGCCTCAGTTCTCGGCCTCAGTTCTTGGCCTCAGTCTCAGCTTCAGCCTCAGTCTCAGTTCTCTGCCTCAGTTCTCCGCCTCAGTCTCAGCTTCAGCCTCAGTCTCAGTTCTCAGCCTTAGTTCTCAAGCCTCGGCCTCAGTTCTCGGCCTCAGTTCTCGGCCTCAGTTCTCGGCCTCAGTTCTCGGCCTCAGTTCTCGGCCTCAGTTCTCGGCCTCAGTTCTCGGCCTCAGTTCTCGGCCTCAGTTCTCGGCCTCAGTTCTCGGCCTCAGTTCTCGGCCTCAGTTCTCGGCCTCAGTTCTCGGCCTCAGTTCTCGGCCTCAGTTCTCGGCCTCAGTTCTCGGCCTCAGTTCTCGGCCTCAGTTCTCAGCCTCAGCCCCAGCCCCAGCCCCAGACCCACCTCCCCTGTGCCTCTTCCCCTTCTGCTTCTCCTGGACCTTCCTGGTGAAGTGTTTGTAGGCCTCAGTTTTCTGATACTTCTCCAGTTCTCTCATGTAACGCTCTTTGTCCTTCTCTGCTTCGTCCAAGTATCTCTGAAAACAGACACCAGAGAAACTCATCAAGGAAGAAAGCAGAGGCTGAGAGGGAAGAGAAGAGGTCAGGGGTCAGAGGTTAAAGGTATCTCTGAAAACAGACACCAAAGAAACTCATCAAGGAAGAAAGCAGAGGCTGAGAGGGAAGAGAAGAGGTCAGGGGTCAGAGGTTAAAGGTATCTCTGACCTTTAACCTCTCACCTCTGCTGTCTTCCTTGATGAGTTTCCCTGGTGTCTGTTTTCAGAGGTCAGGGGTCAGAGGTTAAAGGTATCTCTGAAACACCAGCCATAGAAACTCATGAAGGAAGAGAACAGTGGCTGCGAGAGAAGAGGTTAGGGGTCAAAGGTGAGAGGTTTAGGGTCAGAGGTCAGAGTTAGGGTTAAGCCTGGATAAGTGGGGCTTCTGACCTGTGTCTGTGTCACAGACCTGTTTATCGTCCGGCGGCAGCTTGCTCCACTCGTTGCCTAACATGCGTGTGATCTCGGGGAAGGGCACGTCGGGGCGCTCTGCTCGCAGCTGCTCGCGGCGGTCGTTCATGAAGCGCACGTATCCGGTCAGAGGAGCTTTAGGAGCGTTACTGTCCTTCATCGGCTTCTTCCTCTTCCTCCCCTTGGTCCAGCTGCCACGGCGGGGCTTCTGAAACACACATGCGTTTGGACGTTTTAGGAAACTGCATTAAATCTGTTGAGTTGAAAAGAGAAAGTGATATTGTAGTGTGTCTCACCTCGTCGCCGTTTCTCTGGGAGCTGTTGTCGGCGTTGGGCGCAGGAGACGCCGTCTGCTCCTCCATCCTCACAAACGCTCAGAACTAAACAAGATCAAACACCATTTCGTTTGTGAGAAGCGAGAAAGCTGTTTCAAAAATATACATTCACACGGCGACACAGCAAGTAAGTAAGTAATCTTTATTTATATACCGCCTTTTCACTGCACATCGGCGTCTCAAAGCGGTTTACAATTGTTAGAAAGGCCCTGGTCCAACCGGGATTCGAACCCAGGACCTTCTTGCTGAGAGGCAAGAGTGCTATCCACTCAGCCTCCGTGCCGAGTGGATAGAAGAACAGAGCTGCAGATTTGATTTTTATTTCAAAGATTTACTGATTGTTTTATCGATTATTGTTTGAGTTTAAAGGATGTTTTCATGCTGAATAGTTTGTACATTTCTGACATGTTCTTAATTCACCCAAGGCCAAATAAAGAAAGTTTGAATATCCAGCTTTATTTTCTTCACAACACATTGTTTTGTCACAAAAATTGCAACAATTCAGACAACAACATTATTAGAACACATTCTATGATACTTAGGGTGACAGCCGAGAGAGTTGCTTTTGTGAGAGTTAGGTCCCCCAGCAGAACAAAGGGTCTGACTGAAACTAACCCAGAAATCTAAAACCCACTGAAGGAGAAAGAACTGAACCAGGGGCAGAGTCTTGTACCGGCCAAAGAACAAGTCTAATGAGTTAAATGTGGCTCCTGCCTGCGCACAACTATATAATGAAATAAGATAACCACATTTTTTAAAATAGATAATTGAGATTATTTTGTCTCCCAATTCTAGTTTGAACCTGTGCCGTGTGCTTCCCCAGTTTGACTTTAACACAATCAGATCAATCTTTCCCGAGCTCCTTCCAGAGGTTAAAACTCCTGTTTGGCCGGTTCTACTTCCTCTAATAGAGACACCAACATTACCATTGATCACTGAGAGGCAAGAGAAAAACACTGACCGCTCCACAGATGTCAAAGTGTTTCTCCAAGTGTTGTCAGCTGATGTAGTTTCATACAGGCTGATTACAGACCTCAGAGTGTAAGGAGCTCCAGAACAGCCAAAAATATGAACAACTGAATGTGTGATACTGCAGTGGAGTTTGCATGTTCTCCCCGTGTCTGCACAGGTTTCCTCCGGGCACTCCGGTTTCCCCTACCACTAAAATCATGTGCAATAGTTCAGGATGAATGAGTGTGTGTTTGTGACGACGGATGGAAATGAACCCATGGCTACAGGAGTGATGTGCTCATGAACATGTACTGTCCCAACCAAATAAACTATAACTATAAATAAATAAAAATAATGAAAGTGTTCCATGTTGAAAAAGATCAACAAGCGCAAGTTATGAAAATACTTGACGCATTACTTCAGGGTTTTATATTTTATGGAAAGTCTGTTAGTAATACATTTCAGTGAACACCTGCTCTACCACACCCTCTACTGGCAACACACGCACATGACAGGAACTACAGAAAACCTTTATACAGTACGAACATGTCTATTGAAAATATCTGTTACAGATTTTCACAGATCAAATGCATCATGGGCCCGGAGTGACTTTCCTTACAATAGTTTCCATATTTGAGCAGAATCACAACTGTTCTTACATCGTTATAACTTTACCATTATCAATAATGTCACTTCATAAAAAACAACATTACAGCATCTGAATCGTTTGTGCTTGCTGCTCCTTGCTAGCATGGTGGCTACATGACGTCACTGCTTAGTTATCTTACATTATGAGGTCAGTTAACCACAGACATAACCACGGACATAACCACAGACATAACCCATCATGTACAAATGAGAGATGACGTGGTATTAGAGCAAAATACTAATAAACATCGTGAACGTAGGAAAGACAAGTAAACACAAGTGGCTAACGCTAAAGCTAACGCTAAAGCTAACGCTAAAGCTAACGCTAAAGCTAACGCGAGTAAATACGACTAAATGCTAAGTTGGATGCTAGCTTTCAAATTTGCCATCGCAGAACAAGAAAACGACAGTCTCTCATCAGAGCTGAACATCTCCATAAACACACACCATCACAGTGTCGTGTTGGGTTCGGTACTGATGGAACAATCCAGAATAAATCCAAACGAACCTTTAGCAGGAGTCCTTCTCCCAAACAAAGCAGCAGGAGGATGTTTACTGCGGTCACTGCTGCAGACACAGCTCTTCAGGACTCTGAGGACTGTGAGGACTGTAGTGTTCTGTAGTGTACAGAAACAGCCACTGTCATTAGATCCATAGACTGGGTTAAGACTGTATGAACCCTTGGATCATGGATGATGTTTCAGGTAAACACTGAGACCGAGCTCTTCCTCATGGAGCAGGAGTCAGTCATGTGTTAGGGGCGGGCGCCCCCTGCTGTCTCACATGCGTCACTTCTACACACTACACATTGTTAAAACATGGACTTTAAGATGTGAGTATTTGCCATAAATATATTGTACAGCTATATATGTTATTTTGAGTGTTTCCATGTATGGTATATATTAGATTGGTCCCCAGGTGTCCAGCAGCAGCAATTATATAAGCAATAATAAAGTAATACTATACTGTGGACTATATGATAGTATCGTATAGATCTAGTAAATTGTCCTTGTTCTATAAGTGTTGCAGCAATGATTGGTAGATTGTTATTAGTATATGGGCTCTAAAGGCTCTCAATATGTGGGATTAAAAACACATTTAGATAAGCAGGTATTAACTAAAATAAACATTTGTGATATATTGTATTATTACCATTTAAATAAGACTTAAAAGTAAAAAAAAAATAGTACTGATTAATTACAGTACTAACTTTCTTTAATTTATTGTCTCATTAAAATAACCTTCTGAGCCTTAAACATAGAAGACAAAATCACCAATTTTTTTTTAACTATTGCAATATTTTATTGGGAATGTACTGTTGTGGAAATTCTGCACAGATCGAGAAAAAAACTATAAAATCAATTATAAAACAGAAAGGCCTCCCACACGTGTGTTAGCGCCTTAGGACTTTGTGAAACAATCCAAACCCACATCACTATAAACAAGCAGAGGACATCAAACTGAATCCTCGGGACCTTCTTCTTCTAGTTACCCACCGACCAAAAATTGTTACGCTAACAGTTTTTATCCACAAGCTGTTATCAGTGTGAACAGAGCACTTTAATGATTTGCACTTGTTTTGAAACTGTTTTAGTCGATCCATTTCACAGTGACATTTGTTTACTGTTTTATTTGTTTTATTTTTGTCTTTTAATGTTGTTTTATGTCTGTATTTCTCTGTGCACACTGGAGACTTTTGCTAATGTATTCCAATGTGGTTTTTTTTTACTGCAAATGGCAAATAAACTGAATCTGAATCTGAAAATGGTGGTAAAGTTTCCTTTAACACTGGAGCAGTCAGTTCGACTGTATAATGACTCCTTATGTAAATGTTTTGCTGTGTCTATTGTTTATTTGTATGTTATTCTGTTAATGATATTATCGTGATCCTCCTCTGGTCCAGAGTTACCATAGCAACACAGCAGAAGGTTTGTATTCCACAGTATTCTATGGTCTCTGTTTTCAGACATGCTACTGTGTGAGTCATGCTCATGTCCTATCACGGCCACCAGGGGGCAGTGGCTGACAGGGGTTGGCTTCCTGTCCAGTGCAGAGGCCTCTCTGACTCTTCAAGTGCATGACAGGTGCTGTGAATACTGCAGAGAAAAGAGGAGAGAACAAAGTGCTAGAGAGACGAGCAGAGCTTCAATTATCTCAGAGTGAACTTTTCCCAGAGACAGACTCAGTGTGAGGGTCATTAAAACAGGACTGACAAAAGAAGTGGACTTCAGGTCCAGGGGGGTCCAGGAGGGTCCAGGGGGGGTCCTTAAGGAAGACTCTGAATGTGCTGCGGATTCACCAGGAAATAAGTTTGTCCCTGATTTTCTTTGGAACTTCAAAGAATGGACATGTTTTACAGAATGTTGCTCATCCCCATGTGCTTCCCCTACAGGCCCCTCCCCCGCAGGCCCCTCCCCCACAGGGACTTCCCCCACAGGCCCCTCCCCCACAGGGACTTCCCATGGATCTATGGTACCTCCCATGGATCTATGGTACCTCCCATGGATCTATGGTACCTCCCACGGATCTATGGTACTTCCCATTGATCTATGGTACCTCTCATGTATCTATGGTACTTCCCATGGATCTATGGTACCTCTCCTGGTTTAGTCCTGCTTTAGTCCTGGGTTAATCCTGGTTTAGTCCTGGGTTAGTTCTGGTTTAGTCCTGGGTTAGTCCTGCTTTAGTCCTGGTTTAGTCCTGGTATTGTCCTGGTATCGTCCTGGTATAGTCCTGGTTTTGTCCTGGTTTAGTCCTGGGTTGGTCCTGGTTTGGTCCTGGTTTAGTCCTGGTTTAGTCCTGGTTTAGTTCTGCTTTAGTCCTGGGTTAATCCTGGTTTAGTCCTGGGTTAGTTCTGGTTTAGTCCTGGGTTAGTCCTGGTTTAGTCCTGGTTTAATCCTGGTGCAGTTCATGTTTTGGTTGTTGTTGAGGGTCTGTTTGGACCTAGATCCATAGTTTGGACCGGCACATGTCCCCGTGACCACTTTGCTTCGCTGCATCTCCGCGCTGAACCCACCGCTGCTGCACCTTAACGAGGCGTCCACTGCGCTGCGTCGCAATGAGGCGTCCGCTGCGCTGCGTGGCAACGAGGCGTCCGCTGCGCTGCGTGGCAACGAGGCGTCCGCTGCGCTGCGTGGCAACGAGGCGTCCGCTGCGCTGCGTGGCAACGAGGCGTCCGCTGCGCTGCGTGGCAACGAGGCGTCCGCTGCGCTGCGTGGCAACGAGGCGTCCGCTGCGCTGCGTGGCAACGAGGCGTCCGCTGCGCTGCGTGGCAACGAGGCGTCCGCTGCGCTGCGTGGCAACGAGGCGTCCGCTGCGCTGCGTGGCAACGAGGCGTCCGCTGCGCTGCGTGGCAACGAGGCGTCCGCTGCGCTGCGTGGCAACGAGGCGTCCACTGCGCTGCGTGGCAACGAGGCGTCCGCTGCAGGATAAACGTGCGGTGACGTCCGTGCAGTTCCTCGCATGGACGTCATGCGAGGAATGGATCGTTGACTTTTGGTGCTTTCAGACCGGTAATATTGAAACGCTGAAGCCCCGCTCACCAGATGTGCATTCTCTAGTTTTCAGACGCAGAGGTCTTCACACCGAGATGTCCTGACGCGCACCGGAAGTAGCCGGCCCGGCTCTGATGCTAAAAGAGCTATGCTAGCGGCTTCTTGTGTACATATGCAGCTTTGCAGCGTGTCTTTGAACAGAGACCTTCCACGGGCTTTATATAACAGCAGTATGTGTTCACGGAGGTGACTTTATATGACAGCAGTACGTACCATACGTGTTTTTGTCTTATTAAACAGTATTTCCGCATCGGCAAACACATTCGAAGCAGGTGCATAAGGTCACAGGAGCATGACAACCCATATTTTCACAAGCACAGAGTCCCCCATTGTCAGCCCTGGTTTGAGTTCTGGTGAAGTCTGGTGTGGGTCCTGTTTTGGCTGTTTACAGTATGTTCAGTCTGCTCGCTCAGTCCGCTAATGTCCCCGTGACCACTTTGCTGCTCTCTGATTGGTTGTCGCACGAACGTCCCAAGGAAAGGATGAGCAGAATCCATCTCCTGTGGGCGTCCATTTTTTGCTCCTGCTCCTCCCCTTTGACTTTCCCGCCAAGTCCGTGCGTCTCTACTGAACAGTCCGTGCGTGTCTACTGAACAGTCCGTCCGTGTCCGTGCGTGTCTACTGAACAGTCCGTCCGTCTCTACTGAACAGTCCGTCCGTGCGTGTCTACTGAGCAGTCCGTGCGTGTCTACTGAACAGTCCGTGCGTGTCTACTGAACAGTACAGTCTGTGCGTCTCTACTGAACAGTCCGTGCGTGTCTACTGAACAGTACAGTCTGTGCGTCTCTACTGAACAGTCCGTGCGTGTCTACTGAGCAGTCCGTGCATGTCTACTGAACAGTCCGCGCGTGTCTACGGAACAGTCCGTGCGTGTCTACTGAACAGTCCGTGCGTGCGTGTCTACTGAACAGTCCGTGCGTGTCTACTGAACAGACCGTGCGTGTCTACTGAACAGTCCGTCCGTCTCTACTGAACAGTCCGTCCGTGCGTGTCTACTGAGCAGTCCGTGCGTGTCTACTGAACAGTCCGCGCGTGTCTACGGAACAGTCCGTGCGTGTCTACTGAACAGTCCGTCCGTGCGTGTCTACTGAACAGTCCGTGCGTGTCTACTGAACAGTCCGTGCGTCTCTACTGAACAGTCCGTGCGTGTCTACTGAGCAGTCCGTGCGTGTCTACTGAACAGTCCGCGCGTGTCTACGGAACAGTCCGTGCGTGTCTACTGAACAGTCCGTGCGTGCGTGTCTACTGAACAGTCCGTGCGTGCGTGTCTACTGAACAGTCCGTGCGTGTCTACTGAACAGTCCGTCCGTGCGTGTCTACTGAACAGTCCGTGCGTGTCTACTGAACAGTCCGTCCGTGCGTGTCTACTGAACAGTCCGTTTGTGCGTGTCTACTGAACAGTCCGTTTGTGCGTGTCTACGGAACAGTCCGTGCGAGTCTACTGAACAGTCCGTGCGTGTCTACGGAACAGTCCGTGCGTGTCTACGGAACAGTCCGTGCGTGTCTACTGAATAGTCCGTGCGTGTCTACTGAACAGTCCGTCCGTGCGTGTCTACTGAACAGTCCGTGCGTCTCTACTGAACAGTCCGTGCGTGTCTACTGAACAGTCCGTGCGTGTCTACTGAACAGTCCGTGCGTGTCTACTGAACAGTCCGTGCGTGTCTACTGAACAGTCCGTGCGTGTCTACTGAACAGTCCGTGCGTGTCTACTGAACAGTCCGTGCGTGTCTACTGAACAGTCCGTGCGTGTCTACTGAACAGTCTTATTAAACAGTATTTCCGCATCGGCAAACACATTCGAAGCAGGTGCATAAGGTCACAGGAGCATGACAACCCATATTTTCACAAGCACAGAGTCCCCCATTGTCAGCCCTGGTTTGAGTTCTGGTGAAGTCTGGTGTGGGTCCTGTTTTGGCTGTTTACAGTATGTTCAGTCTGCTCGCTCAGTCCGCTAATGTCCCCGTGACCACTTTGCTGCTCTCTGATTGGTTGTCGCACGAACGTCCCAAGGAAAGGATGAGCAGAATCCATCTCCTGTGGGCGTCCATTTTTTGCTCCTGCTCCTCCCCTTTGACTTTCCCGCCAAGTCCGTGCGTCTCTACTGAACAGTCCGTGCGTGTCTACTGAACAGTCCGTCCGTGTCCGTGCGTGTCTACTGAACAGTCCGTCCGTCTCTACTGAACAGTCCGTCCGTGCGTGTCTACTGAGCAGTCCGTGCGTGTCTACTGAACAGTCCGTGCGTGTCTACTGAACAGTACAGTCCGTGCGTCTCTACTGAACAGTCCGTGCGTGTCTACTGAGCAGTCCGTGCATGTCTACTGAACAGTCCGCGCGTGTCTACGGAACAAACAGTCCGTGCGTGTCTACTGAACAGTCCGTGCGTGCGTGTCTACTGAACAGTCCGTGCGTGTCTACTGAACAGACCGTGCGTGTCTACTGAACAGTCCGTCCGTGTCCGTGCGTGTCTACTGAACAGTCCGTCCGTCTCTACTGAACAGTCCGTCCGTGCGTGTCTACTGAGCAGTCCGTGCGTGTCTACTGAACAGTCCGCGCGTGTCTACGGAACAGTCCGTGCGTGTCTACTGAACAGTCCGTCCGTGCGTGTCTACTGAACAGTCCGTGCGTGTCTACTGAACAGTCCGTGCGTCTCTACTGAACAGTCCGTGCGTGTCTACTGAGCAGTCCGTGCGTGTCTACTGAACAGTCCGCGCGTGTCTACGGAACAGTCCGTGCGTGTCTACTGAACAGTCCGTGCGTGCGTGTCTACTGAACAGTCCGTGCGTGCGTGTCTACTGAACAGTCCGTGCGTGTCTACTGAACAGTCCGTCCGTGCGTGTCTACTGAACAGTCCGTGCGTGTCTACTGAACAGTCCGTCCGTGCGTGTCTACTGAACAGTCCGTTTGTGCGTGTCTACTGAACAGTCCGTTTGTGCGTGTCTACTGAACAGTCCGTGCGTGTCTACGGAACAGTCCGTGCGAGTCTACTGAACAGTCCGTGCGTGTCTACGGAACAGTCCGTGCGTGTCTACGGAACAGTCCGTGCGTGTCTACTGAATAGTCCGTGCGTGTCTACTGAACAGTCCGTCCGTGCGTGTCTACTGAACAGTCCGTGCGTCTCTACTGAACAGTCCGTGCGTGTCTACTGAACAGTCCGTGCGTGTCTACTGAACAGTCCGTGCGTGTCTACTGAACAGTCCGTGCGTGTCTACTGAACAGTCCGTGCGTGTCTACTGAGCAGTCCGTGCGTGTCTACTGAACAGTCCGTGCGTGTCTACTGAACAGTCCGTGCGTGTCTACTGAACAGTCCGTCCGTGCGTGTCTACTGAACAGTCCGTGCGTGTCTACTGAACAGTCCGTGCGTCTCTACTGAACAGTCCGTGCGTTTCTACTGAGCAGTCCGTGCGTGTCTACTGAACAGTCCGTCCGTGCGTGTCTACTGAACAGTCCGTCCGTGCGTGTCTACTGAACAGTCCGTGCGTGTCTACTGAACAGTCCGTGCGTCTCTACTGAACAGTCCGTGCGTGTCTACTGAACAGTCCGTGCGTGTCTACTGAACAGTCCGTGCGTCTCTACTGAGCAGTCCGTGCGTGTCTACTGAACAGTCCGTGCGTGTCTACTGAACAGTCCGTCCGTGCGTGGCTACTGAACAGTCCGTGCGTCTCTACTGAACAGTCCGTGCGTCTCTACTGAACAGTCCGTGCGTGTCTACTGAACAGTCCGTGAGTGTCTACTGAACAGTCCGTGCGTGTCTACTGAACAGTCCGTGCGTGTCTACTGAACAGTCCGTCCGTGCGTGTCTACTGAACAGTCCGTTTGTGCGTCTGTACTGAGCAGTCCGTTCGTGTCTACTGAACAGTCCGTCCGTGCGTGTCTACTGAACAGTCCGTGCGTCTCTACTGAACAGTCCGTGCGTGTATACTGAACAGTCCGTGCGTCTCTACTGAACAGTCCGTGCGTGTATACTGAACAGTCCGTGCGTGTCTACTGAACAGTCCGTGCGTGTCTACTGAACAGTCCGTGCGTGTCTACTGAACAGTCCGTGCGTGTCTACTGAACAGTCCGTGCGTGTCTACTGAACAGTCCGTGCGTGTCTACTGAACAGTCCGTCCGTGCGTGTCTACTGAACAGTCCGTGCGTCTCTACTGAACAGTCCGTGCGTGTCTACTGAACAGTCCGTGCGTGTCTACTGAACAGTCTGTGCGTGTCTACTGAACAGTCCGTGCGTGTCTACTGAACAGTCCGTCCGTGCGTGTCTACTGAACAGTCCGTGCGTGTCTACTGAATAGTCCGTGCGTCTCTACAAAACAGTCCCGTCCGTGCGTGTCTACTGAACAGTCCGTGCGTGTCTACTGAACAGTCCGTGCGTCTCTACTGAACAGTCCGTGCGTTTCTACTGAGAGCAGTCCGTGCGTGTCTACTGAACAGTCCGTGCGTGTCTACTGAACAGTCCGTCCGTGCGTGTCTACTGAACAGTCCGTCCGTGCGTGTCTACTGAACAGTCCGTGCGTCTCTACTGAACAGTCCGTGCGTGTCTACTGAACAGTCCGTGCGTGTCTACTGAACAGTCCGTGCGTCTCTACTGAGCAGTCCGTGCGTGTCTACTGAACAGTCCGTGCGTGTCTACTGAACAGTCCGTCCGTGCGTGTCTACTGAACAGTCCGTCCGTGCGTGTCTACTGAACAGTCCGTGCGTGTCTACTGAACAGTCCGTGCGTGTCTACTGAACAGTCCGTGCGTCTCTACTGAGCAGTCCGTGCGTGTCTACTGAACAGTCCGTGCGTGTCTACTGAACAGTCCGTCCGTGCGTGTCTACTGAACAGTCCGTTTGTGCGTCTCTACTGAGCAGTCCGTTCGTGTCTACTGAACAGTCCGTGCGTGTCTACTGAACAGTCCGTCCGTGCGTGTCTACTGAACAGTCCG